CCATGATAATACGTCAAGCGCGACTTATATATATCACGCGAAAAACCGTAAATGGAGATGTGGGAAAGCATGATTGATCGCGTGACGCATTTGGTTACCATGATAATACGTCAAGAGAGAGAGAGAGAGAGAGAGAGAGAGAGAGAGAATTCAATGTAGTATAACGTTGAGTGTCCTTATTTTGTCCTTTCGAATGATGATTATCATTTTATTATGGGGATATACGTCTAAACTATATACACAGATACCAGCAGTAGTTAGAGCATTTAGTTAGAGCACCAGCAACTCTATGTGTACTACGTATAAAACTGCATATAGAAATAATACAGAAAATAGGTATGCAGGACGCAATAAAGTTATATAAATCCTGATTTATCCATATCCGAACGCACAGATAAATCAAGTAACGTAAGATGTATGTGCCAAGTTCAGCTGTGTTTTTCGAATTAAATTTGTTTCGTGTGTAATGGCACGTAACAACAGTGAGCTAATTATGTCACTGGTAGGGAAGGGAAGTATTGCGAAAAATGTTATTGCGTACTCGTGAAACTGGAAACGAGATTCCTTGGGTGTTGGTGACAAGACGTAACGTGGTATAGTTGTTATATGATATTTCTCAAATGCTTTCAGAGTTTATTCACCTTATTAATGAAACCTGGTTGTAAAAGCATACTGTGCGGGTACCTCTTTATTTTCAACGTATGACGTGGGGTAGCTGTCATTGCAAATAATGTATTAATTGCTTTTAATTTGATCGACGGATTTATCGGAGATATTCTGAATCAGTGGATTATAGATGGAAGAGTATTTTAATGGGTTATTGACATTATGAATTACATATCATATTGGTGATATCATTTTTATTCGTCACTTTTTTAACGCTCTGTTCATCCTTTCCTTCCGTTGCAATATTTATTTACAAGCATAACGCTCAATTTTTTTTACTTATTTTTTTTCAAGCGATAATTGACCCTATGGAATAATCGATCGTGAGTCTCAAATATATTTAGAGGCGCTCGTATTGTCTATTCGTGCAAATTTCGTTTGACGTCATTGACTGCGACGACCTGAAATAACTTTTACCTACTGTTCTCAAAGTGACGTAACTCACCATGACGTTACGTCTGGGGAATCCGAGTGATATTCACTAGTCGCAGCTGCATTCGTGACACGCGATAATTTGCGAACTACTTGTCTTTTTATGCTAAAAGCGATATCACGTGTGATATTATTATGTTCATGCACGCCCACGGAAGTAGAAATAACTTGCAGAGGTCGTCAGTTGGTAGTCGGTATTAGTCAGCCAATTGGCAAACAATCAAGAATTAGCCCTAAAGCATCAGCCTCCTGGGATTTAACACTTTAGAATGCAGACTGAAAAACATAGCAATTCGAAAAATTATTTTGCAAAAACATTGCACGTGGCATTGTGGTATCATGTTTTTTTTTTTCGAAAAAAATTTTGAATTCATGCAACGTACGACCGAAGTACCTCTTGTGGGACTTTGCCATACAAAATCTGAGGTTATATTAATTATTGATCAGTAATAGATGATTTCAAGATTTTCTGTAGACCTTCTGAATTATACTGCAGCTTGTATCTCATCATTGGAACTTGAGATCTGTAGTCGATGTAGCGCTACCGGAGATCAGGAATGTCAGTTTGTCAAAAAAAAAGAGGTTGCACCACAATTAATGAGTGACACAATTACGCGAGATGAATAATGATGATTATGGATCAGAAAGTTGGCGAATGAACTTTCGCGAAATTGTATTTAATTAAAATTTCTAGATTGGAAATTTTTTAATGCACTGACACCAGTATCAGCATGCTAATTCTAATACTCACTAGATGTTTAAAATTTATTCGAGTTCGCTATTTTTGTTTCAGAATGCAGTGGATTGATAGAGTATTCAAATTTTGGTTTATCGTCGCTGTTAGCTGGATAGCAATACGGTCAGGTTTAATTGAATGGATAACAGATACTTATCATTCGATGATCGACGATCCAATTTTGGAAACTTAACATAAAACATTATAATCAATCTAATCCCTTATACAGCAGTTCACAGGACATTATGCATTAAAATAGAACTGTATTAAACTTTCTTTTTTTAAATCAATTGCTCATGCAAATAAATAATTATTAAAAGTTATACAAAGACACTTTTTCGTTTCTTTTTTTTCAATATACAGATTTAGGTGACAGCATCGATTTAGCAGAGAACTTACAATTAAGTACGGCAAGCCGCTTTATAAATACTATTCTACTTATAAGCTGTACGAAAATAAATATTTTAACTAAATTACATATTTGTATGAACATTAAATGAAATTTATTTTAGCAATACTTATTTCACTTTTCGCAAGATGCATGATACGGGGTGTTGCCATTTTCTAATGTAACTAAACATTACATAAGAATTTGTTTAAGACTTAGAGTTTATTATATCACAAATTTCCTTAGCTCCATTAAAATGCAATAATTATCAACAATTACATCGCAGTCTCATAATTTCACTTGTTCCCGCAGAGACCTTGAGACCTTGTTGCCGTACGAGACCTTATAATTTTCTCCAAAAAAAAACTGAAAAAATTCCTAAATGTCTCGTAGGATCTTAACAAGAAAATTAAACTGTCACGATTTAATAAAAGTAATTTTGCAACCACTTTTTTTCTAATATTCGAACACAGGAATTACATATCGATCGATTTGCCGAGGATGCAAATGATACATGGGTAAGGATCACGAGTTACGTATGACACTCGTCTTGTTATTAAGTAAAAAAAAATTAATATTTATTAAGACATGTCTTACTAATTATTAACAATTAATCTGACGAGTAATTGATTAAAGTAAATATTAAGTAGTCCAAATAAACAGCAAAAATAAACTTCCACTCGTCAAGATCAAGAACGCCTGATAAGGCCTCGCATTATCAGGCAAGTCGTATCGATATGAGATCAGAGCCCAAATCTGGCCGATATCAGGCGAGCCCGATCAGGAATACCTTACTAATACCTGACCCGCTCTTGATAAAACATCAGGAAGACTGATTACATCTCTGCTCGGGACGTTTCTACGTTACGTAAAATTGACGTGATTAACAATTTCAATAGAACCCGTAAGGATGTCGTAGAATATATCGTGATATCGAATTAAAAGAAAAAAAACGTTTAAAGCGAAGCGAGAAAAATTCATCTCACGTGACCTACTCGTGTCCAGATTATATTTTTAGATTGCCGCAAGACGCATACAAATAATACGTAAACGTTTTCAACAAACTCGATGTAATTTCGCGGAGTGTTAAAACCCGTTTCTCAATCCTTGGGAAATTCTCCGGCTCACCGATATACTGAATTGGCTCGAACACAATGATACATACGTCCCGTTCCCGGTAAGAGGAACGACGCACGACTGTTACTTTTTATTCATTTATTGAACGACAGCATCATGACTGCCTTCTGCTTACGCAGCAAGGAGCAACAATAAAGAGAAAGGCGTGATAAGGTTGAAGATTGTAAAGATCAATAGAAAAAAAAAAAATCACAACTTGTAATGCTGTGAAAAAAAAAAACAAGGAAATCCTGTAAATTCCACAGAACATACATTAAAGGCTCGTATGCAAGTTTAAAAATTTTCTATATACAGAAAACGGATTGTCGGAATAATAAATTGAATATTTTTAGAAATACGAAAATACCACAGTATCGATCGATTGTCTCTGTCGAGTAAACGATTGCGATGCTATTTCTCTGTAAATTGGGAGGGGAAAGGGAGCGGCTTATCGAATATTTGAAAAAAAGAATTTTCTTTTTAATATCATTGCACAATACCGTTTCCCCGAATAAGCAGAGATAATAAATTTTAATTCGCTGAACGCAATTGAAAGCTAAGGCGAGTATAAATTATTGGCTGCCTCGTGCACATATTGTATGAATGAAAAGCGATAAGGAGATGATAGCGTCCGTAGTTTCTATGAAAAAAAAAAATTAAAATATCTCCTTGAGCCGATAAACCTGTTTAAGTGACTTTTTATTTTATGCAGTTATTTGCAAGGACTAACATGAGAGTTTTCTGTTGAAGACAAATTACGTTGCTGGCACGACACTGATCGATCCTATCTTCGTAAAATGATGATTGCTTTTAATAACGCCTACACATAAGATTCTTCAAATTGCCTAGAATTCTTAGGAAATAATTCGATCCGTCTGACGTCAATATTTCGGAAGCCATCTATCCCTTGTAAAACCACATTATCACATAAATTTATCTCCCAAGAAAACCTGAATTGTTATAATTCAAAATGTCGCGCGGATCGACTGACAGCAAGACAGAAAATTCATAACAAAGACACAACAATCTAATGACTAATGCAGGGCGAGGCACTGCCTCGTAATGGATAAGCATACGTCAACAGAAAAAAAAAAAAAATTTTCATAATTTTCAACCTATACATAATAGCCGAATAAACAATGAGCCACGGAACATTTATAACAAATACACAATACAGTAGTGTATAGGTTTACCGTTAACGTTGAACAATCTCAGCATTACTGTTTATATGTAGAAAAACTGAAAGTCCACAAAGCTATCTAGTAAGAGTGTTTGAAGCTTCGGTATACAATTAACGTAAAACCACAATTAGTGAATGACTAAGAGAAAGAGGAAAACCGGAAGACGCAGGAATGAATTTCCGTGTTTCGTAAAAGTCATGTTATTTTAACGTGGCCTAAGTAATTAAGTTTCTACCAGCAGTCTTAACAACTGTGACTTTAAATAAAAATTAAATGTACAAGACCGCTCCCACATATGTTCTATATATCCATTTAGAAATGATTACTTCATTATGTCATATTAATAACATTATCAATGACCTGACTATTATTTCCATAAATTTTCCAAAAATTCGGCTTTTATCCCAATCGGCCACTGCATTGTATTAATAAAACCTACATACAGGCAAATACATAAAAATGAGCAAACGTTCCACTCGAGACATCATTACATGAAATATAAATATAACGCAATAATTTCATATACATTGATGTCCTATGTTTCGCGTTATAATTGTTTGATTAAAATAAAATATCAATATATACAATATACAATAATAGTTTTTACCAAGACTCAACCAATAGTCTTGATGGTCATTATGCGCTAATACAATAATTGACGACCGCAGAATATTGATAAAGCGATACTCGAAGTTTAACGGCGTACAAACAAACAATTCCATAATGACGTGAATATCTAAATTGAGAAATCCCTGTTAACAGAATAAAACCCAGGCATTCAATGAGACAGACAATATGTCACCATAGTCTCACGCATGGAGGCACGCACGTGTCCAGAGTGTATCTCGTGCAGAATCATATAAAACATGTGTGCGCGCATGACGTCATCAGCCTTGCGTGCGCATTTCAGAAGACGGGGAGGAATGAGAATGCCTGCTACATATACTCACTCCCGTGGTGAACGGTTTTCATGAAACGACAGCCAGTCGTTCGAATGCATTCTCGCCAGCAAGTTCTACAGTGAATTGTGGCCGAAAAGAAAGCAAGTATTATTTCTCGTGCGAAACTGTTGTGTCCCACTGGGGAAAAGACGGCGGAAGAACGAGAACTATGAGACGCAGTCGATGGACCAAGTTATGTGAAGAACAAAAATTGTAAAAAAAAAAACGATAAAAGGAATACAATTTATATGACCAAAAAACTGGATCCTATTCGATGACAAATAACCACGAAGATCAAAGGTGTCGAGCAAAGGCTGCGATAACGGGACGAGCATATAACTGTCGTGACGTCTCAGGATAAAAAATTAGATACGAAGCAGAAAGTGATGGAATAAAAACGAAAACTTGCTGATACGAACTAGAGAAATCTACTGAGAGATTATAATTAGAGAAGCAACGAGTTTATAACGAGTATCGCTTCAATAACTGTATGCATGCATATTTTTTGTATGTACAGTTGTTCGTCTTGTAAATAGGAAGAATATATATACATGTAGTATTGACTTTCTAAGAGATTGCAATTATGCCATTGTGAATTCATGAATCAACGTTGAGGGATTTCTGGAAAGGCTTCTTCAGACATTCTCGGCTGGGTGCTGGTGGAGCAGGTTTCTTCTAGTTGCAGGAGCGCGATTTCGATCGGACGAAATGCGTGACTTAACGATGCCGATCGACAGGTGAGATTCGAGAAATCGATTTACGATAACTGCCCACAAAGAGATATGTGGAAAGGGAAATATTTTACCGATGCATAGGTCGGCGAAATTATTTTTACTTAAAATTTCGCGTAATTCGTACTCCGGTTAGTGCTTTACATTTTTTATACTGTTTCACGTTAGTTGACACTGATACCGAATACTGAATGAATATTGGCAGATAATACGTAATTCAAATACTATAGACGTCGATTATTAAGAATTTTGAACAATTAATTTTTTTTTACAATAATCATACCGGATGGTTAGAAAGAGTCTTCCCTTTCAAAAGCAAAGTATTTTATAACTTGTAGCAGTGGACAAATTCTGGAGCAACGAATTTCTTAGAATCCTATTCACCTGATCGCTCTAGCATTCGCTTATAAGCAGGTAGCACTGTGTCACGTTTCTCTCGTGAAGTTTTACATATTTAATATAGACGCTTTACCAAGTAACGGTGTTCCGCGAACGCGTTTTGATATAACCTTAATATATGATTCATTGAGGTATAATTAATTAACGTACGATAATATAAGTCGTTCGGTATTAACAACACGTATCATCGAGAGTGCGAATGAATCTAAATTTGACTATCGTTAAGCTATAGACTTTCGAGTGTAGAATTTTTTCTGGCTCATTATTAACAAATTTTTAATAAATTCTACATCCCAGGAATCCTTGAGTATGGTATCGAATTTTGACTTCAGACTGAATGTTTCATAATGATCACGATGAGATCACTGAACTATAAAAAACTGCACTGGGCAAAATTACCTAAAAATAAATGAAGATTGGATTACAAACAGTAATAATCCTTTCGATTTGACTTTGACGATTGGACATGATTTCTTGGACGACTATTAATAAATTTAGGGAATTTTTTTAAATAACAGTAATAAATGAGTTATCGCCAAGCTTATATAAGAAGTAGGAATCTACATCTCGTGACCACTTCCGAATAGAGATTTGAATCTTATTTGATATACGACAATAACGACTTCAGCACTATGGCACTCTTGAATTTTGATATTATAATTGTTGCATATACATTATATATTTATTTAATTCATTTAAATTCGACTTTCGTCCTCTTACCGATTTGTTATTTACTGCATGGATAGCACGAGGTACTTTCTTATCATTCATGAGTCGACCTGGACATTGAATATAAATATCTTGAAAATTATTGACGCACATGAAGAATATTCGGAAACGGAAAGGCGCAAATAGACTATAAAAGAAAAATGTATGAAATTAATCGATGAACTTTACAATTTCCATATATAAAATACATTCAAACGCTAATATATGTAATGATCTACCAAGTAAGTTAAAACTCGACAAATACCGTGTGCTATTAATACAGATCTTTTTTTCATTTCATTTTCAGCTCACCAATGAGATCAAATTTACGCCTGAACATTCCCGAAACTACACATAAGATGTCACAATTCATAATTGAAGATTCGGATTCACGCTCAGCAAGGTCTACGCCGTTCACAGATTCAGACAGCAATAGTCCGGAGCTGGACTGTATGAGAATTAAGAACTTAAATCTACAAGGACACGTGGAGAAGCCCTTATTCAACCTGATGTACAGCTCCGATGAGTTTGAAAGTTGTGATTCGAGTCATGAGTCCGAAAATTCTCTATATTCGGACGATTCTGTATCGTCGTCTGGAATATGCGAAAAAGTCATTAACCGTGACCGTCAATTTCAGAATACATGCACTGTTTCTAACAAATGTGACGATATTATCATGAAATTAAGAAACCTCCGAGTTCTGGAAAGTGATTCAGAAACGGAAACGGAACTAGAGATGTTCCAAGATGAATATGAAAATCGGAAGAACGTCAATTCTTCCTTGAAATGCGTAACAGTTAATTATCTAAATATATTTGACGAAAGTAACGACACTCTCTCGAACACGAAGAAAAAAGGCAGCAAAGATTTAACATCCGATAACGATGAGGATGATGATGATGAAGATGATGATTTAGTTTCGCGTGGTCCAAGTAGAACAAAATCTCACACATCAGCATTCGAACCATATGACAAATCACTCAATGGATTCGAGTGTAAAGTCAAAGAGATATATGCGAATGATCAATATAGACGTCGTATTGATGACGTCATAAATACAATCCGTGAAGGATCCTCGATAAATGGATCAGATATTTCAGTAGATATTTCAAACCAGAACAATATCCATATTAACGAACCAGTCGAATGCGCACTGGATTCAAATGAATACAATAGCATACACAGAGAGAAATGCTCGTCCACTATTATCGATGCTGCAAGTCCCTCGAGTTTTCCAATGAGCAATTCAGGTTATCCAGACAATAGTTTGACAACAAACGTAATGCTGAATAATTCATTACAGGTAAGTTGCAATAATAAATTACTTTAAGCATTGTCATAATTTTCAACATCCTTCTTAAGATCGTGCCCGACTGCCGAGTTCCTCAAGGATCACCATCATCGTCGTCGATGACGTCATATACCACCAGTACCATTACACCTAGTCCATCGAATTTTCAAAGCATCGTAGATTCCCCAATAAATATGCCAATATTTACAGAGCACAGTCAGGCAGAGAACGATAGTAAACTGTGCAAAACGATAAACGAAGATACATATAACTTGAATGACCTGAACTATTCAAGTTTCTGGGCACATTCGATAAACGAAAGAGAAAAAGCGGACACGTGTTCTGGAAGATCTTCGATGAACAATTATTCAAATGATATTAATGAAACCTATTTCCCACGTCAGATTGGAGATTCATATGGCACGGAAAACATATTTATTATTGGTGAAAATTCTCTTATGCACTCCGATGAGCAGAGTTCCAACTGCACCCAACATTCTGGTCTTATTGAAAAAACACAAACTAGTTTGTCAGAGGAGTTACTTCAGTCGACCAAAGAAGACCTGCCAAGTTTCATAATGAATAGTCCAACGAGCAGCGAGGGATCCAGCACTTCCATCCACCCTTTCGACAGAAGTTACTTATTCTACCATCCAATCACGCCACAATACGGATCAAATACAGATTTGAATATACCATATGGTCAACAGTTGACACCACTGTATTCACCAGCTTCGTCAACAATTTCATCCCCAACACCACCCGTAGAAACTGTCAGATCAGAGCCTAAGAGGTAGGTGGAAGATGATATAAATGTGAAGTAAACTTACTTGACTTATAGCCAGGAGAAGTTTATTTCGGATAAACATACACTGCTTTAGTACTCAAAATCTAAATCAATCAGTAATGCAGAATATGTGGTGATTCTTTATAGAGTGCCTAAACCACCGATTATAAAACCTTGGCCAACTTTAAATCTGCCGTCGACAGATGCCTCCAAGAGATTAATAGAAGGACTAGACGTAGAAGACGGGAACAAAGCATTGCAGAGCATGTTGGCAAAGTCCGTACAATATCTGGCAAGTAGCGATAATAAGAAAAATACGTAAGTAAATGCTATGACAATATAAATTAATAAAATTATTCCTCGAGCATAAATTCTATTTGAATCTTCTTTGACGCAGACAACTAATGCGATTAGTTCGAGACCCGAATTTGTTGAGAAACAAACGAAACAGAGCTTACTTGATACCGCTGGTAGAGAGAATTGGTGAAATTCAAGCTAATTTGTCAGCAAAGAATGACTTCGGCGAGGATGCTCTATATTTAGCAGCAATGAATTGTTTTGAGATGCCTTACATTGCTGGATACTTGGCCGCTTTCATGATCGATAAGGACATCGATATCTCAAAAGTAGTATATCATACAAAGGTTAGAATTTTGCAATTTACAAAGAGAAACATTTGCAGCAGGCATTCTCGAGATAATTTATTTTGCAGAAAATTAATTTTAACGAATTTTTATTTTTTACAGGGTGACACGCTCGTTCACGCCGTGGCAGCGAAAGGGGACACGCACGTGAACGTTCTCTCTGAATTACTGACGCTCAAAACAAAGGATAAGAACGACCTGTTTGACTTGACGTCGTGCAATTACGACGGTGAGCAATAATTAATAATATTAATACCCAAAAAAAAAATTTGATTAGTGACTAGAATACCATTGTCTAATGAAAGTGTCATATTTATCAACGAGACTTGCCGTTACCAGGTAAAACAGCTTTGCACGTGGCCGTTGAAGCTCACAAAACGTCGAAAGAACGAGTATCCTCAATTGGCACCGTGCTATTGCTACTGGAACGCGGTGTAGATCCCAAGATCAAAGAAGCTATACATGGTAACACTGCTCTACATCTGGCAGTATATTTGCACTGTGATCCAAACCTCATAAAGGTAAGCAGTGAATTAACAGTGAAAAATATATGCGTGGAACTTTACAAAGCATATATTACAACGATCATACCTGATTCCGTAAAGAAATGTTTATTTTTCTTGACTTTTAGGCTCTCCTCAAAAACAAAGGTTGCGAAGCTGTTAATATTAGAAATGACAGTGGCAACACGCCTCTCCACCTTGCAGCCATGTCGCAAGTGTCTCTAGAATGGCAAAGAAAAGTTTGCTGGTATTTAATATTGTACAAGGCATCAACGAATATACAAAACCATAAAGGCAAAACGCCTTTGGCTGTGGTATCTTCGGACAGACGCGAAGCGATTCAAAGGATCTTTGACTGTAAAATATAAATAAGATCCAACTGAGCATTTGCAATGTTATGCTGCTCAACGGTTGAACTGACATGTGCATTTTGCATGGGCGCAATATACGTACAAATCGAGGACATTACAGAAGCAATATTCAGTAGGACCATTGTGAAGTCTTCGGATAAGCTGTAAAAATTTTTTGTAAATATTATGTAATATGATTACTATGTTGCAAGACTATGGTATGGACGGAGAAATGTGTTGTGAGCGATTAATATTAAGAATGATAGTAGGCGAGAATTATTTAAGGAATTACTACGCGACGGACTTTTGTAAATAAATGTAAATCATCAAGTACTTTTTAATGAAGTGTTTTCTTTTGTTATTATCCTTCAATCAAAAATTGGTATTCGATAAATATCTACTTCAATCGCCTAGAATCCAATGGCACAAAATTTTAATACCCTGGGCAAACACAAACTGACAATTATATGTCGGCAATTGTACAACTTTCTGTTCACGGATATAACAGTGACGTACATTAGGCGTTACATACATACAGTCGGTACATCCTTGGGTATGAATTTCTAAAATTGTCGATATGCTAGAGTCATTTTGTGTTTGCTGATATTGTTAAAATACATGGTAGATAAAGATTTAACAAACAATAAAAACCATTGAGAGCTATCACTTGCATTTTTGGATTAATGATTATTTTTACACATCTCGTATCTGGTCGATATAATAATTTTAGTTTTCTGCTCTTACAATATCGTCATCTCCAACTCGCGTACAAAGCTGTACGATATCCGAGCTTAATATACACAATTGTCCATACTTTTTGTGACAAAGTGACATATGACATACTAACGTGATTACTAGAACACGAAAGTAGTTTCCCGACCGTAAACGGGTTCCGGCGGAATTGTGTTCCAGGTTTTCCGGTGTAGTAAACCCTATTGCTTGCCCGTTAATGACATCGAGTACAATGTATATCGGAACAAGCTAACGCGATATAAGTAGTAATTTAACATGTTTAGTAGAGGAGGAGCATGTCAGTCACAGTAATAAGCGGCGCGAAAGACCTGTCCATCATCATTTCGATCGTACTTTTTTAATTCAACGGCTATCAAAACACTTATTTATCCGTGAGTGTTGTACGCGGTAGAGACGTCGGCGAGATAAGGGAGAAAACCATTGAGCAGAGAGAAACGAAAATTTTGTTGACAGAGGAACAAGTGCATCGAGATATAAGAAATACGTGCAGTTGTATCACAGTAAAGGAGTCTTAAGGAGCTCATAAGTGCATAAAACTCGGTATAATATTTATTGGAATAAATCATACTTCGTTATTGGATAATGCTGCGGAGTAACTCCTATATTCGTAATTTTTATTGATTCTGGTTTATGTTGTGTGTTTGAACTGATCCACGTGTACTATACATGTTATTCAGTTAATTAACCAACGAGGGAAGATCTTAATTGACGAAAATATTACATTGACTAAATTCCTGTAACAAGATGAGGAATATATGGAGCATTCTATTGATCATTTGTTCAATAAAGCTCCTGACGTCCAGCTGGAAAATTAATCAACAGTGTGAAATACAAAATAACACACGGCTGGCCTGTGTCTGTTCCGGTAACGAGGTATGTTCTACGAAATACGTCAATGTCATTATGTTTTCCACCCACGCTATGTGTATACGCGTAATAGTTTTTTTGAGCTGACAAAAAAAATAATTTCGAATTCCAGGAAACACCATTACGGTGGCGGAAAAATAATTGCGGTTTTCACGAAAAGGGCTTATAGCAGTAAACGCAATTATTTTGACACCTGTCTAATATTAAGGTTTTGAAATCTTTTTTTTTTTTCCAGGTATTACAGTTTCCAAAAGATCACAACTTGAGGAACATTAGTAATATCTTTATCTCATCGTGTTCATACGTAAACTTGCACATATCTGATGCAATGGACCCAGAAGGCGTGCGAAATATTATAATTCGTAATATAAGCAGAACACTAATATTTGATTCAACGGTAATGACAAAGAATATCGAAAATATTGAATTTTTAAATATCGGAGTTATACATCGTATCGCAGGAGATTCAACTTTCAAGATGGCTCAACATATAAAACGTTTCCGTATAGAAGATACGAATATCGAGAATTTCAATGCAGAATTTCAGAACATCAGTGTGACCCAATTTTTATTCAGAAATGTAACAATTGCGCGAATGATCGGTCTTAATTTTTCGAAACGCGGCGAACTTCTTAAGATAATAAATTGCACTTTTCGCAATATTCAAAGCACTCTGCATTTTATTTTCTCTACAATTGAAATTCGCAATTCGAAATTTGAATTGCAAAAACCAACTGACGTGTCCATTGTAGGCGATAATACTGTTGTGGCCAATAGTGTATTTTTAAATGTTAGTATGAATCTAGTTGCTTCCAATAAAATCGCTGTGAATAATACATGCGCCGATGGGAAGAGTTCTTTGAGACTTTCAGCGCGCAGTATCGAAAGCTTTGGAAATAGATTGCCAACAGAGATAATATATCCCAAGAATATGGGACAAGACGTACCGGGTTTATTACTGGCTCGAAATAACACCGTGTGCATTGCTGGTAATTGCAAATGCATTAAAAGCAATGCTGTTGGCTTGTATGGGCAACTACATGGAAACATATTTAACGGCATCATGTTATCAATATTTATTCTCAGTTTATAAAAACTTATATAATAATGAGAGCATTTGCCGTTGGATAAATATAACTGTCATACGCAACTGAATTATTAATAATAATTGTAAGTACTATAATATAAGGTAAAATGCGATTATTATTTGTATTCAACAATCTGGAAATGCATATCAGTTTTTGTAAATGCAATCATTATGCATGATAAGACAAATTAGACAATTTTTTATATATTTTTAATTCCTTAATAGAATAAGTTTATAGACTTACAATTAGAATTATTGTTGAGAACTCATAACTTATAACGAATAATTTAAAAAATATACTATTATTATAAAAGGATAAGAACACATTAATATTTTAATATTATACCATAAGGCACTGTACAGGGTTTTTTAATGCAAACGTATCACCTGAAGTTAGCCTGTCTATTTGGTTTCTATCGTAGAACCATCTTCAGGTGTTACGTTTGTCGTGAATAACCCTATATCAATTTTTATTAGTTATATTGAATTTAAAATGAGATACGATATATATGGTTATTCGCGAATATTATAATTGTGAGAATATATCATTTTGTACTATGTTTATAATTTTAGACTGTTTTTACCTCTTCTATAAAAGTGAAATAATTTTAACTTACCAATTAGATGTTTAGCTTCTCGTCTTTCCAAATATTTGATGACTCCACATGCAATTGTATCCCTTCTGCATAAAGCGATAACTCGTCCCTCAAATCGTTAGCCTCTTGTAGCATTAGCTGATTATTTTCCTCCAAATTTCGAATAGTCTGTTGATAAAGAAGTACTTGTTTTTCATGCTCAGCTTGCATGTCTTGCCATGCTTTATCCTTGGGCACATAAGTTCCTACAGATAAGAAAATAATGTCGGTTAACTGATGAAAAGAAATGAAATATCGTATGAAATAAAATTTTTAAACTACTTACCAACAGATTTTTGGAGTTGTTCGCGGAGCTTATGTCCGTTTTGTTGAATTCGCCTCATTTCATGCATATGTTGACTGTCTTTTGACTGCAGTTGTTTCCTCAACTTCAATGTCTGAATACATATTAAATAATGATGATAATAGTTTTATATTGCAAATAATTAATGAGGACATTGTAAGATCATTTACCTCTTCTTTTTCCCGCTTAAGATTTCGTGATAATTCATCCAATTGAACTCTAAGTCTTCTTTCCCTCTCTTGTGATTCTGATAATAAATGCTGTTTTCTTTCTAAATCTTCCTTTAACCGTTTCACGCGATTCTAATTTCGGAAAATGCATGTTGTCAAAAATTTAGTTATTAGCACTCATAATTTTGTTACACCTTAATCACTACATACTTACCGATACACAAAAGCTGCATGTGTTAATGCAAATATATTAAAAGAATAAACAGGATACCATATTATAAACTCACCATAAGGTTGGCATTATCATTAGATGTTTTATGATGCATATCATTGAGTTGGCTTTGTGATAACATAAGTGTCCTTTGCTTATTAACGAGACCCCACGACATATTAACTAATTTAATGAAAGCAGTCTGCAAAGATTCAATTGAGTGCAGTTCATTATTACTCGTTGTAAGAGACTCAAGACCAAGAGATTCAAGTTCCTGTAAAACAAATGTCATTAAGTATGTCTCTTTGGATAACTCTCAGAAGAATAAAAAAGGGTAAAGAAAACCTAAGGTTCCACAGTTATATTACTTTCAGGATTAAATCTTTATATTATAATAAAGATGGTCTTATACTCAATAGAATTAATTCAGATCTAACAATTTTAGTCATTTTAATATTAGCGCTGAGAATAATAATATTAAAAACTATAAATTACAGTAGCAGATCTTACCTCTGATAATGTTGACAATGCATTTTCTAAATTGTTCGTGGTGCAAAACTCCGATTCTTCTAATTCTTGATTTTGATTCTGAGCAAGCAGCATTCTGAGATTCCTTACTGATCCGGCAATACTCAATTCAGTTGCCATTATCTATATTCTAATATAAAACAATATTATCTAAAACAAAAATATCGATACTGCTGATACAATAATATAATATCTTTTTAGTATAAATGCAATATACACTCTTACAATAAACTGATATGTTACAAGATTAAAAAAACTTTCTTACAGCTTAAAAATAAATGCTTACTTATCATATTATTATGTCACTATACAGTAATTATTTGCAAAATATATATATTCATATTATTGGCATAAGCATCATCGACTACCTTTATGTATATTTTCAATAAATACAATCTTAATTACATAAATTCAAAATTGATATGCAACAGAAACATCAATTTCATGTAAATATACAACACTTTTTTACTTGATCACATATAATATTAAAATATTTATTTAAAATAATCACTTAAATTAACAACTTTTTTGAGCATCCATATTCAAAGTTACTGAACCGTACTGTAACAAAACTATATCTCGACTAAGAATTATATTCAAAAGAGCCGCAAGGTCATTTAAACCGTCCTTTTAAATTAAATTATGTCTAGAGTAAGACTAACGCTAGTTGTAACCTGCTCTAAGCACAATATAAAATTATTGAAGCAACAACAATAGAAAATCATACTGACACCGACTAAAGATCCTCTTGAATCTCTTAACAATCTTCGAGACACACCTTGCACTTGACTTTACTTCGATCTCGGAATGGCATTCCCATGAAAATCAGGGCAAACAATAGCCAATTCTAGACTAAACAAAAATAAACAGAAATACACGACTGACAATGAGAAAGTGGGTTATTTAATTTTACTTTTTCACAATGCCGTCCGATGGCGCTGCTTGAAACGAATTATCATTAGAGGATATTTTAGAACATATAAGTGCAATTTATCATACACAACATCTCATTCTCTCAAAAATAAATAATTTACACGATATTTACCCTATTAAAATATTTTCCTTACAGATTAGTATGACGAAAATACAATTCTTGCTACACATTTGCTAACGATATAAGACCTTGTTTTAGGTAGTTGAAGTTAAAATTATTGGATGCTTGTGTTATTAATAATGACATGATTTATCAGTGAGTACTATAATAATTTACAAAGTATAATTAAGAATTTCATACTATAGCCTGACTACTACCTGACAACCACATAATAGCAACCCAAGTACTCAATCATTACTGGTTCATCGATAGGCGGAGTGGGTCAATAAGGGCCGACTAATATGTTTTTCGCGTACATTTGCTTTGAATATAAAAATTTCAAATAATCTAATAAAAATCAGATGTAAGCTATAATCTGCAATGTGTATACGATGCACAATGAAAGTACAACTTTAAAATTGAAAGGCTCAACGACATAGAAGCATTTTAATGTACGTAATACGTTAACGATATGTTTGTGACTATATATATTTTTGAAATGTTACGTAACGGTTTCTGTTTATTCGAGTAGTAGAGCCATAGTGCATAATGCTGTCCTGACTCCTGCCTCATATTTATGTAATATTATTTTAGGACCTCATATGGTTCACAGTTTCGACCCAGGCAAAGTAAAACGCGTCAACTGTGTGAATTTAATCTCTGAGCTGTCGACACTCTAGAACGAGACCCACCTTTTTTTTATAGAAACATATATCCCCCAAAAAAACTTTTAAAAAGTAAAAATGGGTGTCGGGCCTTCGTTGACACCACAAATATTACAATGCAGTCAACGCGACAAAATGAAGTAAGATCAGCTAGTCGGGTAAAAACTAAAATACAAACAACATGTGGAAAATAAAAAAAATTGAATTAAATTTTAAAAAATATCTGGAAAAATTTTTCAAAAATTGAAAAAAATTCCACAAAATCCGACAAGTACATAAGTATATGTTTTTTAATAGAATGATGGTCTCTCTAAATCTTATAGGGTACTATACATTTCTTTTAGTAGAAGTCACTGCTATATTCTCGTGTCGACAAACGCCCGGCACTTCATATAACCTTCCAATAATTATTGTAAGGTAACATTGATTTTTTTTTAATTGACAATTCAACATACACGAAAAAATCACGACCGTAACTTTTTAAGCTATGCTCTTAGATATAGCAGCACTTGACAAGCTAGGCTCTCGAACGCAGCAGAATTCGATAAGCTAGACTCTCGGACCTGCTCGGACCGCGGACGCAGCAGAATTTGTTTGACATCTATCTAGTAAGGCTCTCTCGGACACAGCAGCTTGTAGTAGGGCATGAGAAAAAAAACAAACAGTAGCCATCTAGCGGTGCCTAGACGAAAGGAACAGATTTCGATATATATAGATATAGAAAAAGCATCCCTTGACTCGCATTTTAGAGCCATACTGCACGCATATCTGTATACTCGTATACGTAAGCCCGGTTAACGCTCGTTGATTCACTGACGCGGTTCACGCGCCCAACTCATCATAGCAGAGTATGTCCATGCGTAATGTTTGGAGTAAATAACGTCCAGCGTTTGACCAGGGCCGACTTCGTCATACGAAGAGCCCGACACAACGTTAAACTGAACGTTAGGACTAGCCAGGATGTGTCTAGCACATTTGAGGTTGGGTCAACGGACAACCGTAAGTAACTCATTCATTCAGGCATATTATGGAGCCCAATAGCTCATTAAGCATACGTAGAACTTAAATCTAATTAAAAGAGGATATAGGCAGAAAATATTTCTACTGAATTATTGGAAAGATGAAATTTTTCATTAAATATTTTTACATTGAAAAATGAATATAGGTTGATCCTTGCGTAAGTGCAGACTATACAATGCCCTTTGGTGCACTTCTAAAGGATTTAGGAAAATCTTAAACACTTTGAGGTTACTTCATTTACGTTGCATCCACGATTCAGCTCTCTTGCTAAGTGCTCGTATATTTTTTCATTTACCACAGTGAGTTAATGTGTCGTTTAAATTTGGTGCGCGGCCTTAAGCTCTTCGGTGCAAGACTATTTTAAATACAACTCTCACTCACATTCCCTCGATAAAAAGAAAGGCCGACGAAACCATACCAAGAAGTGTAATGATAAAACAATAAATTTTTTTCATTTTATCAACGACTATATGTATAGTTATAACGTAAGTGAAGTTTACTTCGCATGAGATTGAAAATAAATTATTAATTAATAAAGAAAACATAAAAATTAAAAATAAACATACAGTTGTAATTTAAAAAGTTTTATTTGTGGATTTTATATTCAGCTTTTTCGATGTGAGCGATATTTTAAAATTAGTTTGTTCCCGTATCAAAAGCATTTAAAGAGATAAATGACTACGTGCACAAGATTAATTATTTCAAAAGACATGGGCGTAAACACCCAATAATAAATGATGGCAGTTATGTAACTACGCAAAGAAAAAAAAAACAAAAAAATTAATTATCCCTGAATTAATTCGAAGGTAAAAATAAATGAAGAAGAAAAACCGACTCGTTTTTGCATGGTTCACGTATGGTTAAATTCCACGCCTCGTTATCAGAGTTTTTGCTACGTACCTTGTTTCACGACCCACTTAATCAAAATGGCCACGAGAAACTTTGACGACATTAAAATAGATCGATAATACCGCGTTCTGTCTAGCGAAGCTCAAAAAAGAGATAGCGTCTAGAAATAAAATCTGCTGCGATCAGCAAACCATTTTATTACCCAAGAAACTTGCAAATTCCGATATTGTTATTTCCTGTTATACTACAATACAAGCAACTTTCCATTCCATGAAAATCTTCTCGTTCGCTCGTTCTATTTATCCATGTTGAACACACTGAAGGTGACATCATTTATCCTTAGAAAAACGAATATCGATTAGCATGACGAATGCAGGAAAATTCAAATTCAGTCAATCTCGATATTGGATATTTGAATTAATATCATTCATCCCATTCAATCAATAGAAGCAATTTCTAGGTCTCAGGTACTACTGTCGGATTGCATTATTCAAGAAAGTGGAAGCCTGGAATACGTATTTCACATAACGACGCAATGGAGATATGAAAGCAGCAAAAATTGTTTTCTCAAGTCAATGAGAATTTCTGTATTTAATTCTAGCAGTGAAGGAAAAGACTGTGCACGCTAAAGCCTAAGACAGATATTAATGAGGGAGAGATGACTGTGGACGGGTATTCCTCTTTTCCTCTGAACAACCTAATCCTTGCTACGTGATCTTGAGAATCCTGTAGGATTAACTGGATAAATGCCTGAGGCCTTGGACCCCACACGAAATGCCTCTTAAACACAAACCGAAAGCACGAAACTACAGATGTACAAAAAGCTCAACAAAAATTCAACAGATTGGATGCTGCGTTCAAGAGGATCAACACAAAATTTCTTAGGTACGATAAATAAATAAATATCAAATGAACATAGTCAAATAATGTGATATGGTTTATTTGTATATGTATATAGGCTGCCTATTAGGTTCCTAAAATTACACCCTAATCGACACGCTTCGTCAAGGAAAATGGAAATGGGGGTTTGAGATCGATTTCAGAGCACCAAGAGTAACCCAATATTTGACATGAGTGAAAAGGCTCATCTGTCTAGTGGTTAACAAGTGTATCAAGAATAAAGACAAGCATATTGACCGTGAAGCATGGCCGTGTGACACGACGAGGTCACGTCGTACATGCATTCTGAAGATAATTAAGAAAAATGTTGCATTGGGCTATTTTTCACATCCCTTTATACAGGTTCTGTAGAAATATGCCTGAAAGCGAATGGTGAATTTTAAAAATTGCTATAAAATTAATTTTCACTCGAAAATATGTCATTAACCAGTTAAGTACTTGTGGTATGTGTTCCTGGGTGTATATATGTATATATATAATCCTCTGGTTCAGCTATACGTAATAGACTGTAGACTTAATCCTGTATCCGACTTAGTCTGTCGCAATTCGTTAATGTGAAATGAAAGATAATAATGAAGATTAATTACTGGAAAAAAGCACGAATTTGAAAATTTTCGAAGCGAAACTCGTCTACTTCAATTACACGTAACCCAATGCCAAACATGAATCTTTTGGGTTTTATATATCCCACCATGTGGTTTCATTTCATCCCTTGTCCCCCAAAGTAATCTGTCACAACTCGCTTTTTACTCTTCTTTCCTCAGCGTCGTTGCTTATCGGTATCCGTCTTTTGGGTTATTATAAAACCGATTAAAATCAAAACTTATAATATAATAAATAAATATCGTTCTAAATTTCCTTTACAAAAATTAATTATTATTGAGAATTTCATTAATAAATCTATCGATAACCCACATATTAATATTACCACGTAAAGCGAAACGTATGTAAGATGTCTTTCTAAAAAAATTTACAAAAAAAAAATTAATTCAATCTTGTAATATTCAAATATTTTTTTCAAACATATTTCAAACCGAAGGTTATTCAATCGTCATTAGCTTGACTAACCCAAGTCAAACATATTTGCTTCGAACTATTAAAATTACTTATGTAATTATCTTTTAGTATATTTCTCAAAAATATAAACAAAATTAAGGAACTGCTAATGAACGATATACAAAAATTTTTAATAATTTCATAAAAGAATGTAACAAGCTGTAACTTTACATTTAATAATAATATCAACATTTTCAGTTAAAGTCGTAGTATCTATGTGAGTATTTTTGAAGCTAAATATATCAGTTTCATACGCAGTTCAATTCCCATTGAAGATATCGACAGAGACTTTCCGCTTTTTGTACGGAAAAGGAGAGAGAAAATAGGTCGGTGGATTTCATTATTCCAAGCGAAGCTTTTAGTTTCGACTTGGCCAACCGATCCGTCTACTTTACCAACGACAGTTTGCAGAAGACATTCTGCCAAGAATTCTAACTTGCGAAGCTGGACCTCTTTTCGATTTACTGCACCATCACAGTACGCGCAAGGACTACCAACCACATTGGACGCATTGCTTAAAGCTAAGCCCGACGGTCTTCCACGTAGGAGAACAATGAAATCCGAGTAAAATATTGATCAAAAACATCAAACACTATTACAATTTCTCTTTTTTTTTCTCCATTACTTCCCTTTTTTAACCATAATCGAACTTCCCTTTTCGTAAATCTAATAACTCTCGTCACCGGATATACACTGGCTTCGCCATTGAATTCCGAGACCAATTCGACAATGTGGCTTTCAATAACATTTTGACAATATATTACATGGAGACTCGATACGATCCAAATTCATTCATCGTCCATAAATCCTGTTACATCCACGATCTCTTCAACGATCTACTAATACTTTTGGATTTCAATAAAAATATATAGTACATTTATATCCAGATGAAAAATAACATAAAAATGTATTTTTTGTGTAAATAAATAAATAATTAGAAATAATCTTTTTATTTTGGTATAGAAATTTCATCACTAAAGTCACGATTTTGTACACAGTACAAATTAGATCATTATAATTACAAAGAACGTCATTAGCGTACGCAATGATATTGTTCCTTTGATCCAGAATTAAGTCGTATCGATGTATACTCGTGTTACAGTGCACACATAATATCTGTCTCTGAGACTCGCCCACTCAGTCAAAGTCTCAAGAGTTTTGACAGGTCAGCAACTCCTGAAATATTTATGTCTGCCCCAGCTATTCTTATCCACACGTTACAGATATTTTTGGCTAATGTTGGGTAACCCCCATCCATGTTTTGTTGCTTTTCCCCAATTGTACTAATTCCTGCAGTTCACGGTTAAGAATAGAATTTTCAGATTTTATCTCTACATCAATTTCAATCATCCGCGTTATCCTAAATAAAGAGATCACTGAGTGCAAAATAATATTTAACAGCGCGAATCTCAATTAGCACCCCGAAACTATAACCTGAAATATAAAATTGACGTCTTTAACGAAAAAGTAAAAAATCAAGTCCCATAAATATTGTAACCACTGAAATTTCATTCATACGATATATGAAAATCGTAGAACTTTGAAAATTCATGCTTACACGGTTAAGGTAAATAATACTACTAGAAATTTTAGAGTTAGGTTATCTCTTTGGTGTTATCACCTTTTACTCGATGCAAAATGTTTTACCATAGCTTCCTGCTCGGAGGATGCTAGTCTACATACGTATATATATATATATAGTCATTCACGAAACTTCGGTGATACAGTTGGTTACACAACTCCAATGTCGAAAAGTCACGTACGCTCGTAATCGCAAAGTTAAAATGGAATCCAATAATCCAATGCTCACTGCCAAATCGTGGTACCTAAATGGCAACCATAATAGTATAGGATTTGAAATGCCTAAATTGTTACCAGCTGTTCGTGTACTGTCTATAACCAATTGATAAACCTACCAATAGAATATATTTCGTGCTTGATAATTTTCAAAGAATCAATGAAAAAATTGATAAAGAATACATTACAGAGTAGAATTATTTTGTAACATGGAATTGAAGGATAAATTTTACTCATAAAATATAATACTGTTGGTATTCTACGTTTTCTATACGAATATGCCGGTAGAACGTAATAATTAATTTTCAAAAATTTTTAACGAATTATGATACATAACAAATTGATTCTATCCAACATTATTATTTGGTTTAATGCATCGAATATTCACGGTTGTACTGGGATGTAACGTACGTATTAGGGTAATCGGATAATACTCGGCGATCGATCACGGTATATGCTGTTTCCGAACTGTCGCAGTAACACCGATGGAATATGCCGATCTTCGATCAGCCGACAGATGAATTTAAGCGATTCCTCGACGATATCGTATCTGGCATGATTGAATAAAAAACTATATAATAAATCCAATATAATAAGGAGTCAAAGTGAAAATAGCATTAAGTAAGGATATATTAAATCAAAGGAAATAATATTATTCGAATAACGCAATTATGATATCCAATTAAAAATACCATAGCGTTAAGATATAAATCGACAAGAAAAACAGATCCTATATATTTTCTTTTAAATCTTCCACTGCAAATCAGCGTTCGTACTTGTCTCAACAGAATCTCGTAAATCTAATCAAAGAATAAAGTCGCTTTTACAAACTCGCCACCAAGAGCTGGATATATATCAAAGAAAACAGATAACGAACGCTTCAATTTTTCCACGTCGACCAACCCCTCATATGACGATCCACCCATGTATATACAGTTATACACATAGCCCGTACTTTGATGCCTTCGCGTAAGGGACACGTGAAGCAGCATCTGGCGTATATGAAAAATCGAAAATGAAATTTTGCAAAAGGGAAGCAAGAGGGGGTAGAAAAAAAGAAAAGGGTACGGTAGATTTGTGGCACAACAGAACATTATGGGCGCTATGGGTGGTAAGCATCGGCGCACTTGTTACCCAAGAAGGGTCCGTCCGGTTGGCAAACGAAGTTCCTGAGGGGTCCAAAGGGTCAGACGTCGCGGGGGGTACGCAGATGTGCCCTTCTTAAGATCACGCGAGGGTCCCACACTTCCAATCTCATCTCGCTAAACTGACCTTCTTCGGCATCCCAAGTAAGATGCATTTCCTGCAGAAACATATGCTCGCGAAAGATCACTCTCACTTTATGTCTCTGCCTCTGGAGAAATGCGGTCCGCTCTTCCCTCGTCCCCGGCAACTGGATCAATACGGGCGTCGTGATACTTGCAAATATTTTTAATTGGACTTTAATTGTAACAAAGTCCCGTCTTGGCAGTATAATAGTCTTCGTCCCTTTTCATACTTTGGGATCGTTTTGTATTGAGATATTATAATGCTACTTGTTATGATTATTGTTAGTCCAACCGACTCCCGTAGGAGTGCGCTTCTGCTGCGACCGATATATAGTTATACAGTTGCATGCTGGGAATGCCAGTTGCCTCGTTATTGTCTTTACGCGAATAAACTGCACGCAGCCTGACGGGATGACTGATTTGTGTATTTCGAGAATATAATACGCGCCGCTTGAATTTCCTTGCAATTTTCTTTTTGCCTGGTGCGTCTCTGCCGAGGGAATCGGTAGAGGTATTGTTGCTGTTATTGTTACTAATGTGCGGTAATAAAACAGACACGCGTTTGCTTCTGCTCCTTGTACCCGCGTGGTAATAGGATGACTACTTTCTTGGAATTGACTTGAAGCAATTACGACTGTTATGACTTGCCGTGTGGTCGACTTTGTAGCGAGGATCTCGTTTGAGCTCCTAAAATAGGTTGGAGGCTTGTATCTCGTATTTAGAAAAAAATGTCAGTAGGGCGTGGCACCTGAAAAATTCTTCTTTGTCAAACATGGCGGATCCGGAGTCACGGTAGAATGAGAAAGAGGGACGCAGCATCCGAGAGGACCACCACCAAATCCTATACGCTCTAATTTTCAACAATTCGTCTCCACGAAATATCACGATCGAATTACGCGCGTTATTTTGAGTTATGAGGGTCACCACTTGGGACTTGGAAATTTCAGCAGGTTAGCCAACCGACTATGCTGTATAAGGTTTCCAAAAGTATGGAAGTCTCTTTGGCACGCGCAACTGGGTTGGGTCGTATTGCGCCAGATGACTGTTTTACTGTATATTTGAAATGCATCAATAGATTTTTTTTTATTATTATAATATACTACAGCCTATATACCCGATGCCATAGAATTTTTGGAAACCAGATGATAATCGTTACTTTGAAAATTTCTACTTTACTGATAAGAACAACGTAGATCCGATAACATGGTTTTATACATGTATCTATATCCATTATGCCTCCTGTTCTAATCACAGAATAGAGCATGCTCTGTTATCATTAGTACAATTACGACGCGTCATTATCAATCGTATTACAGTAATAACTACAATCACGGTACTTGAATCAGCAAAGATTGGAATTGATATATATAGATATATATATGTATATATAACATGCGGGGTTGAATTAGAATATGTACCAACTGGTGGAGATGAAATATTGTTGCGGGATGATTCAACTAAA